AGCTGATCTCACCTCTCATTGGTCACCGTTTTTCGCTTATAACTCGTGAACGAAGCCGCGGATCGCATTTTCGCTAAGGAAAAAGTTGCTTCAAATGATCTCAGGAACCCCTCACTTCCCTAAAATACCATAATTTTAGGACACCCAGGATCCCATGTAACCGTGAACAATAAATTCACTTTGGAATTTCGACGGCATTCTTTCCGAAGCTCGTCTTTGATTTTCATGGAAAGCGAGCACACCCTCGGCTTTACCAACAATTATAGCTATCAAAGAATGTCGTATCGCGGCAGCAAACTTGCCGGAGATAACATTAGAACAGAGGGTGGAACGTACGGCAGCGAACTCTCGATGCATTTAAACTTTTCTAGAAATAGTTTCGAAACGGCCGCGTTTCCCCGTGCGTTAAACTTTTATGATTTTACAACGTGACGATGCAACCGGTGAAAGTTCGCAAACCAGAATGAATATATATTGGTGGTTATAGATTTGCGGCGGGGGCGAGCCCGTTGACATCGGAATTTCACTGTGACGCTATAATCAAATCACGCGTCTGCGGGGATAACGTTAAACGGATTATTGTTCTTTTACCACCCCCCCCCCCCCGTGAAATCTTGACGGGTACGACGATTGATAAGCGCGATAATTCTTTCTGCTCTGTGTTGCCTAAGAAACTACCCCTAACTACCCCTAACGTGTTTTCGCGAACTCGGTGATTTTTTTAGAATAATTACGCTTGGCAATTTTACGGAATTGTTTCTGTGAACTGTTTGTTTATGTATTATGTGTCATTTATTCTACATTTTATTATATATATTATCTAATATTCTAATTATATATATTCTATTATATATATTCTATATTTTATTCTATATTTTATCTAATATTCTAATATTATTATTCTAATATTAGAATATTATTATAGAGAATAATAATTAGAATAATAATAGAATAATATTCTAATATTCTAATTATAGAATATTATTCTAATATTAGAATATTAATAATAATATTCTATATATTCAATATATATGTCATTTATTCTATATTCTATCTAATAATTTTAATATTTTTAGGGTCCATTTTAACTCAATTTTAATAATTTTATAAAATCCTTCCCATCATCCCTTTTAACCGTTTATGTTCCAGCAATTTTATGAAATTATTCAAAATAAAACTGTTTAACTCATCTGCAAAAAAGAAAGACGAAAATAAAAGATAAAAATAAATTTCTTCCATTAATAAATCTTTTCAATAAAACAAACCGCGGAGCGCATAGAATCCGCAGTGTATCCATCACTGAAACCGGAAAATAGAAGTAACGAAAAGCGCGTTAGTCCGAGCAGCATCGACGTCGAACCGTCAAACCCGCCCCAAATAACCCCGTCGACGTTCGTGGTAATTAATTAAAGCTTGTCGGTGGTCCGTAAGCCAAGCAAATAATTGCACGCCGCGCCTCGCGCAGGGGTGGCGATGATACTTTAATCACCCTGTAGGTATGCCGATCGTAGACACGGGCCGGTCGGGCTCGCCTAACGACAAGGCTCGTCTTGCGCAGACCGTCCCACCCCGTCGAGGGTGTGAGAACTGGCCTGGAATCACGCATGCGAGGGCGGGGATGTTGGCCGAGCAGCCGTCGAGAAGGTTGCCGGGGAGGCCTCGGGGTGGCTAAGCAGAGGAGACGACACGAAGGGAACCGTGACACGTACGGACGTCGAGGGATGATGTTACGGGACAGGGGGGGTTGGTGTTACGAGGCGGGATGGGGGAAAATGCAAGCACCGCCGGAGACTGCGAAAGAAAATGTTTAAAGAGGGGGTGAGAGCTAAGGGGGAAAAATGGATGGAGTGCCGTGGAATTTCTGCGTCGAGGGGCAAATTAACGTCCTGCTTATGCGAATAGACCTTTCGCTGGCTTCGATTATGGTCGCGACCGTCGGGGGATGTCCGATGCGATACAATTGCTGCATGAAAGAGTGAGACGCTCGATATAGTAGTGAATTATTACTAATTGACGCTCTCAGATTGTGCACAAAAATTTGTGAGGAGAATTTGGAAAGAGGAGCAACAAAAATTTAGGGCAGCTTCTTTTATGCCCTGTTTTATTTTTTATTAATTTACTTACGAAGCTATAATGTAGTGACATCAAAAATTGAACTCGTTCAATTACTGTGATAAAAAAATGATTACTCGATGCTCTCTATGTGTCAATATTCTTGGAGAAATACCTGATCGAATACAATAAATCAAAGCTCGATCAAAAATTATTGTACCTTATGCAAGTATAATTTTATTGTAGAAAGATTCACAATTTTTTAAATAATGATGATGCATAAGAATCCGACAAGAGAGAGTATATCTGATCTTGATAGACAGATTTTGACAAAATTTCTGTGAACGCTAGTTTTCCTTCATCGATTTCACCATTCATGCTGAAGAAGTGAAAGTAGCCCTTAAATGTACTTTTCATCCCCACCTTCGAGGACTGTGAGGGATGAAATTGGGAATTTCGAAGCCGTAATGTCTGAACTATCTAGTAATAATCATCGTAATAAACCTGTTTCATGAACTAAAACTGATTAAGTACTGTCCCCCGAAAGCTTCTCGCCAATGCAGCACTTGATCTACATTCTCCGATCCGTGAAATTAATATTAATTACTTCGAAAGCTTTTTAATGAAGGTCCGCGATCAAGGTTCTGTGAAAGTGCCATTTGAACAAAGTAAAAAATACGGAAATCTGCATTTCCCAGTTGCTAGAAAGACGTTCTTTTCTAAGAACAAATTGAAGAAATATTGTTACAAATATGCATGCGATGCATTTAGAAGAGTGTGCAGCTCTGTCAGTAAATGCTTACAATTAGTAATTGTTTAGGAAAATGCTTTACGGCAGCTGAAAGTGGACTTTAATGGAGCAAAAAGCATGGTCCCTTTTATTTACGCGTTGTTATTGTTATTTTATTTACGCGAGCACCTTCCAAATGCAAGTTTCGCGCACTTTATTCGCACCGGAGTTGCAACGGATGCATTATCTTGGAGAATTGAATATATATATAATAATAATAATATAATATAATTGAGGGAATATTCTCATCCCTCAATTTACGCTAATTTCCGTTTCACGTGGATTTGTTTTTTCGTGAATGAAAATCGCGCAACTAGAGTTTACAAGTAGAAAAAAGAAAATATCGGAAATAAAAGTACAGTAATTGGTGGTACAGTAATTTCTCCCTAATTCGCGCTGAGATTGCGCACAAAAATGGACAATTTGTGAAAAGGAGATACGTTTATTTATTATCATACGATCCTAAACTCCACTAAATTGTCAATGCAGAGCTCGTTTTCTCAGCCGTGACAGCCGACACATTTCAATGGAACAACTATCCACTCGAATATTTACGGTCACGTCGCAGCCACCCCTTTCCTTCCACTTTAATTCAGCGAATATCGCGGTCGTCGCGGTTATTATACCAAACTGAATTCCAAACAGAAGTCAGCACCGTTATTTTTCCTTCTTCTTTTTCTTAACCCAATTCAGCAATTCTAATTTATATTTCTCCAATCTTCGCATTAAAAAAAACGATCTTCCGATCGCCACTTCGATCTTCGATCTGTATCAAAAAAAAAAAAAGAAATCGATGCNAAAGCTTCTCGCCAATGCAGCACTTGATCTACATTCTCCGATCCGTGAAATTAATATTAATTACTTCGAAAGCTTTTTAATGAAGGTCCGCGATCAAGGTTCTGTGAAAGTGCCATTTGAACAAAGTAAAAAATACGGAAATCTGCATTTCCCAGTTGCTAGAAAGACGTTCTTTTCTAAGAACAAATTGAAGAAATATTGTTACAAATATGCATGCGATGCATTTAGAAGAGTGTGCAGCTCTGTCAGTAAATGCTTACAATTAGTAATTGTTTAGGAAAATGCTTTACGGCAGCTGAAAGTGGACTTTAATGGAGCAAAAAGCATGGTCCCTTTTATTTACGCGTTGTTATTGTTATTTTATTTACGCGAGCACCTTCCAAATGCAAGTTTCGCGCACTTTATTCGCACCGGAGTTGCAACGGATGCATTATCTTGGAGAATTGAATATATATATAATAATAATAATATAATATAATTGAGGGAATATTCTCATCCCTCAATTTACGCTAATTTCCGTTTCACGTGGATTTGTTTTTTCGTGAATGAAAATCGCGCAACTAGAGTTTACAAGTAGAAAAAAGAAAATATCGGAAATAAAAGTACAGTAATTGGTGGTACAGTAATTTCTCCCTAATTCGCGCTGAGATTGCGCACAAAAATGGACAATTTGTGAAAAGGAGATACGTTTATTTATTATCATACGATCCTAAACTCCACTAAATTGTCAATGCAGAGCTCGTTTTCTCAGCCGTGACAGCCGACACATTTCAATGGAACAACTATCCACTCGAATATTTACGGTCACGTCGCAGCCACCCCTTTCCTTCCACTTTAATTCAGCGAATATCGCGGTCGTCGCGGTTATTATACCAAACTGAATTCCAAACAGAAGTCAGCACCGTTATTTTTCCTTCTTCTTTTTCTTAACCCAATTCAGCAATTCTAATTTATATTTCTCCAATCTTCGCATTAAAAAAAACGATCTTCCGATCGCCACTTCGATCTTCGATCTGTATCAAAAAAAAAAAAAAGAAATCGATGCAATTTCGTCATCGATGAAACAGCATAGCTTGTTAGGTACGGCCGAGAAGACAACGAAGCATCTGGTAGAATCTGAAAACGCAATTATAGCCTCGGAGAGGCTAGAAGTCCCGTAGCGGGGGTGAGGGGCCTCTCTCCTCGGCGCTAACAAGATTGCGGGGCGACTATCGGGCGCGAAGGGGGTGCAGGGCGTTCGGTCTCGGGGATGGTCGAAAAGCGGGAGGAAGCGTGCGCGAAAAGGGGTGGGTAGCGGGCGATGCAAAATCGTTCGCGGCCGCACAGTCGCAGGAGGATCGAAGGCCGTGCGGCCGACAGTGTGCGGCACACCGGCGCAGCAATCGCTTCCGCTTCCTCTGTTTCCGTCTCGGATCGTCCCCGCGCCGTGGGGACCGCACGGGGAACCATGCTGCGGGACGCCGGTTGACCCGCGGTCACGATTCGTCGCCAACGGACCACCGTCACGCTGGCCGGAAGTGTCGCGGCCCGTGGGTGATTGCCTCCCGATCGTCTCGTCTTCGGACCGTCGCGTCGGCTCCCTGTGATCCCGGTTACGCTCGCCGGTTACTTCCGGTTACGTTTCTCCGGCTTCCGGCCGCGATCGCCGGCTTCCGGCGAGCCGCGTTCCGCGGACTTCCGTCGACTTCGGCCGAGCCGAATCGGACTCGATCGGAGATCGCGGTCGCCCCCAGCGTCGTCGAATCGCGACGATCGAGGTCCGAGGAAATTTCAGGCACCCCAGGAAGGTCGAAGAATTTTGCGGGACTCGTTTCTGCGAGAGGTTCGATGCGATAGCGAATTCTTCGTTCGGGTATCGGCGTCGCGTGGTTAGGCGAACTTGTGCCGCATGCGACGACGGCTCTTTCGTTGTCGGCTACTGTCGTTCGAGAAGAGTGTAGAAGCTTTTTGTGCGGAGTTCCGAGTTTGGGTTGTATGTCGAAGTCCGTCGGTAGATCGACTTGTTCGGTTAAGCGTGGCTCGCGGAGGAGGATGGCTTAGGTGAGTTCGCGAGACATTGATTTTTGAGCCCGTTGAGGTCTGGCGGATTCGATCTCTGGTTGCAGAACCTGCTGCAACGACGTGTAACACGATCGCCACGATATCACCGCCGTGTGTAACTCTACTAATCTATTTAGGACAGTTGAGAAATACCCGCGACCGTTATTAGATATCACGGAGTTGTGGTGTCGTCGGCGAGCGCTGTCGAAATCGGTGCAAAAGTCAATGTCGGCTCTGACAGGACCCGAGGGATGCCGGCGAGGATTATGTTCTCCCTAAGTGGCGCTCGGATTGCGCGCGATAATGGACAGTTTGGCAGGAGGAGATGCGATTGTTTTAGCCCCGCGGCTCGTTTTTACAGTTGCCGATCATCGTCAACGGCTGTGTGAAAACGAGCCATATGGCTCGCACAATCGCATCTTTTCTTCTGAAATTGGCTATTATTGTGCGGAATCTGAGCGTGAATTAGGGAGAATTTGTTGCATCGTTTGAGAAAAGCTGCGACTCGTGAGTGGACCGCGCGGGTCTTCGCGCAAATTCTGACTTTCATCGATCGTGCCATTTATCGGCGAGAATATTCTTCGTCGAGAGAGACGCGTGATATTCCATAAATGCATAAAATTCGGCGATCTTGCGACGAGTAACGACGTCAAGGAGCCTGTTATTGAGTCTTCGTGTACGAACTATAGTAATTTCTCCCTAATTCGCGCTCGGATTGCGCAGGAAAATGGACAATTTGGGGAGAGGAGGTGCGATCATACGGGTTTTATGGCTCGTTTTTATAGTTGTTGACTATTGGTAACTATAATACTGATGTAATACTATGATACTAATTACTGTAATTAATACTAATATATAATTGTCATTTTTGTGCGCAATCTGCGCAACTATAAAATAATAAAAAAGATATTAATTACTCTAATTAATACTATATTATAATACTAATATATAATTATCCATTTTTGTGCGCAATCTGCGTAACTATAATACTAATTACTCTAATTAATACTATATTTTATAATATAGTAAGTATATTTTAGTAGTAGAGTAGTATATATTTTATAATATATTTTATAATATATTTTATAATATAGTAGTATAATATAGTATAATATATAATACTAACATATAATCATCCATTTTATTTATGCGCGAATTAGGGAGAAATTACTGTATTAACACCAGAACCACCGGACCAGTTAAAATGACTGATTCCCGATTTTTTCATTCACGCTTCCTGAAATTTTAAAAATATGTCTACCGCAAGCGTATATTACAATAGAAACGATGCGAAATTTAAGTAACTCTGATCTTGTCACTTTTATAGAACAATGTACATTAATCGTGGTTAAGGCTCGACAGTTCTAACGTTAAGTAGTGTGTTATACGAAGACGAAAGAAGCTTACGTTCAAGTTCGATCAAACGAGCATTGCGATTTATAACCTCGAGCATCCTTCGATCTTTGTATTCATAACGGCACCTTTACAACTTCGCAACTTCAATGACTAGCAACGTTATAGCTTCGCAGTTTTAACGGCGGCAACTTTAATACCCGCACTGCATTAATTCTAAATTCATCCGCTCACTGAAAACTAATTTAACTGTACACGTTCCGTGTACGGTGTACAGTCGTTTAAAAATTAGATTCTAGCAGAATCGAACGTTCAATTTTTTTAATTCCCGATTTAATTCTCGAAATATAAACGTCGAAAAATTGATTACTTCCTTTGAATCTACGAAGGCAGTTTTTCCACGGATATCTCGATCTAATATAATAAATAATATTATATTATATTATTATATTATATTATATTATATTATATTATATTATATTATATTATATTATATTATATTATATTATATTATATTAATATTAATTATATTATATTATATTATATTATAATATAATATAATATTATATAATTATAATAATAAAATAATAGTGTCTTGCGACACGAATAAACCGCAGATGTTCCCTGCACTTTTAACAAAATTGAATGAATGCAATAGAAAATTGTGAAACAATCTGCAAAATTCAGGATTTCGTGAATCCACTTTTCCGTCTTATTGAAGCCGACACGATGAACAGAGCGTCCTCGTTTCTGCTTGCAAAAATCGACGCGGCTCGTTTTTATAAACCTCTGTAAAAACAATTCCTCGAAATCGTTATTTAGATCGAAGGATGCTCTCGCAACAGCTGCGCCATTTCATTCGTCAAAATCCCGCTCGCTCGCTTCTCGTAAATCGTTTCGCCGATTCTGCAAATGTCACCGCTTCTGCAAATGATCCAAGAAACGAGCATCCTCGGCTCTCGCGTGTAGGTACATCTTCATAAAATGGATCCAGAAGCTGCCAGTAAATCACGGTCGCGTTAGGCTAGATGCTACTTGTAAACGAAACCGTGCGTTCGATGCAACCTTGAATACGGTACATTTTCCGTCTCAATTTTAATGACAAATCGATTTACTCGGTCGAGGATAGTTTTACAAGCTACGTTTCGTCGTTGCGAACCTTTCAAAACAGATCAATGCGCAGATCTTGCACTTCGATTTCCCGACGTTTCCATTGGGTTGGCAACTAAGTAATTGCCGATTTGTTCAATGAAATAAAACATTTCTTTTTACTTGGAAGGAAGTTTAATCTGTAATGTATCTTCCATTTTGTTCGATGACCTTTTGCCGTCTCTCTGACAACTTGAAAATTCCACGCTCGTAGAAAGTCTGATCCTTTTCGGCCGAAAACTGAGTTAAGTGAGATTTTGCAGCGTCATCATAGTTAAAAGTTTTACCACGAAGGGAGTTGTCCAGGGATCGAAATAAGTGGTGATCCGATGGTGCGAGATCAGGGCTATATGGTGGGTGTAACATCAATTCCCAAGCAATATCCATCAATTTTTGCCGAGTGGACAAAGACGTGTGCGGCCTAGCATTGTCCTGTTGGAAAATGACACCTTTACGATCGACCAATTCTGGTCGCTTTTCCTTGACCGCTGCATTCAATTTGTCCAGTTGCTAACATTCGCGGATAATAAAAAATAACATAATAATAATAATAATAGTTTTATAATATAACATTTACGGATATCAT